CTAGCTGAGATGCCAGTTTTTACCCATCAGCACTGAGGACATTTGCATAAAACCAGGTATGTGTCATCTGAGTATCCATATCAGTTCCTCTGGTACTGGACAACAATCTCATGCTGGCATCATCTTCAACTTCTGATGACAGCTGGCTGTTAAAGGCTCAGCTACAGAAGACTATCTTCAGGTGGGAAATCAGATTTAGTAGCAGAAAGCAATGGTCTGGTTTTCATGCAAATCAAAATTGAGCAGTTATTGAAACATTCAGAAGAGGGAAAAGATTCTTATAATCAGAGCAGTGGGAAGACAGTCTGAATTCAATGTTTTTGTCAGCTTCTCCATAAACATAAAACCATCTTGAATCAGTTTGCTTTCATGCATTTTTAATAGTTGAACCTGTTACATTTTTGAATACAGTTTCCCTCTGAAGGTCTGCATTTATTTATTTATTTATTTTTAACCACTTTGGATTTTTTATGTTACTAGCTGAAAGTGAACAAACCTTGTTTTGCCTGTTGCAATAACTCAGGTCATCTGTCCTGCTTTCTAGAAGGGAAACTGGTTGGTGAAAAACTGTATACCCTTGCATGAGTAAAATATGATTGGGCAGGAGCAGACCCAATATCACTGTCAACATTCTTGCAGGCACACTGACATTTACTTGTGCAGAGGGAGTTACCACATACAGATGGGTCTGCCAGGGTCTGTTGAAATGAGCAGAAGTGTTTTAAAATAACAAAAGAGATTCCCACTCAGCTGAAGAGTTTCAGGTCAAGCAGTCACCATTGCTAACTGAATAACAGGGATCTGGTGCATGGTTTTAAAGGTTAAACGGAATTATACTTTTGGGATCTTGTGGAACACATAGGTAAAAAAGCCTACCACAGCAAGAACTGAAGCTCATGCTATTTGGCAGGAACCTAGTATATTGTCCCAGGTAAACATTTAGTTTCCAAGATACTTACTCTTAATTTTCATTGAAGGTATTAAGAGGTTTTTGCTTGCATATCTTCGGGTTGTGATGTATCTGATGGAAAATACTGTTTTACATAATTTCATCTTATCCTCTCTCTGTTTTCCATCATTGTCATATCTCACAGTTCTGAAATGGAAGAGCAGCATTGTTTCCTAGAACTGTTGTTTTGGTTTTTTTTTATTTATTTATTTATTTTCTCTGTATTTAATACTCAACTCATCCTCTCCTTTCACTCATGAAGATACCTAAATTGATATTATCTGTTTCTGTTTATTGAATTTACAGAGGTCCAACAGTGCTGTTGCTTACACATGTAACTGGGTAGTAACTATCTTTATGTAACTAAGTAGTAACTCTCTTTTCTCTGAATGCAAGATCAACATAACCAAAAGCAGGATAAGGATCCCAAAATACACTGTGTGAAGGTGCATGGAATGATTCCTCAACATAATACAGACATAACAGCACATTTTTACTGTCTGGTTTTATGGGGAAAATAGGTATCATTTAAATACTCTTATATTTTTGCTTATATGTATTTTGGGGCTTTAAATAGGATTTTCTAAACAAAATTAGCTTTTTGATCCATCACCTCTAAAGAGTTTCTTGAAATATGTAGTTCACTTTAAAGTTGTCATGGTAGTTTTGTAGTTTTTGTCATCGTATCTGCTGCTCTGATTTTTCTTAATTTTTTCAAAGGTATCTTATCCTTAATTTCCTTATTCCCTTTTCAGTGACCACACTTCATATCAGTCCAGATGGGGATAGTTTTCAGCATTCTACCCAATATTATGTGTGGAGGACAGTGCAGGGTGTGCTACAGATTTACTACCTTTTGGAGGTGCCTTGACTTTGTGTTCTTTCTAGGATATTGCTTGTATTATTTTTCTTGGCCTAGTTCTTTCCTTCTCCAAAACCTTTTTATGTGGTATGTCAATAGTCACAGTCACATATTTTAACACTCCATTTATGGGATGATTTATCTTCCAAAAGTAGCTGCCTTTTGGACAGGGACTACTTCTGTCTTATCACTTGTTGTTTCCTAATGAGGCTTTTTCTTCTCACTAAAGCATGCTACGGAATTGGTTACCTATTTTCATGTCACTTGTGAAGCCTCAGCAAATCCTCATCCTCTTTTGTTACCTGTTGCTAAAAGCACAAATGTAAGAGGATGAAAAATCACAGCCCAATCTCTACTAGTTGATTTGGTGTCTGTGAGGCCCCACAGTTGGCATGCTCTTTCAGATCAAATTTATTTTGGACTGGTCTTTGACAACAGAATACAGCTAGACTATGAGATTAGTTCTTCCTTCTTTGTTGCCATGCTTATGTATTTAGTGCCTTAATTCAAATGAAGGTTTTAATAAGTGTCACTGTAACAACATCAAATATGAACTTACGATACGTAACTCTGGCAGAGGTTTAAACTTTTCTTTTTATCTGTATCCTCATAAGTAAATAGGAAGCCGTGCTAACTCTAATCTGATCAAAATGTTGTAAAACCAAGTGTACTTACCTCATTCCTAGGGATGTTGCTGTCATTTTAATAAAGGCTTAATAGTACTCTAACACGAAAACATTATTTGGAAAGTGAAGAGGTATGATTAAACATACACATCATATTTGTGACTCTAGTATCTCCTAACTCCATTTAAATGTAATCAGAAAGAAACGTATGCTTATGCAGCCTGGAAAGTGCCAAGTCGTTAGTATCTCTTATTGTAGTGGTGAACGCAGAGCTGGTGTCTGTAGTGTCTGTACAGTCTTGCTGAGAACAGTCTCACCTTTGAGCAGTCTCAGGCCAGGGACACTCATCTGGCCTTGTGCTGCTGCTGCACTGCATTGCAGAAGAAGGGAAGGGAGCAAGCCTGTCTTTGGAATACTTTCCCTTCTGCCAGGTGACAGGTGACAAAGCAGCAGTCCTCCCGGGTATTTTGTCACACAATTACTCACAGACCTGTGCTCACTCGAGTCTCTAGGAGCATGATCACATGGGCCCTCTGACCCGTGGTCTGACTCCAGTTGCTGCACTCATACCCTCATACATCCTCATGCACACAGAATACATAGCCCTCACCCAGGAAAGAGTTAGAAAGGAATTTAACAAGAAGAAAATAAGAAGCTCTTGACCTTGTTTTAAAAAGGGTGCAGCAAAGCCCATGCAGTTACCAGTTGCAATGGAGAGGACAAGACCCTTTGGGTCTGGGTTCCACATGGACATCTTCCATCTAGGCAAGAGGCAAAAGGCCAAGTGCATACAAGAAGCTTCTCTGCTTCACTGCTGTTAGACAATGTTTTCTGTAGATTAGATTAGATTCTGTAATTAGTTGCCAGAACATCCTCTTTGCTCTTTTATTCAAAGAAAATTGGCACAAAGCTGGAAACTCTTGCTTTAGGATTGAGGAAGAATTGAGTACTTCATATGTGATTCATTTTGTCTCAGAACAACCCAGAGAGCATCTCTAATGAGACTTTGAGTAGTTGAAAAAGAGAAGCAAACACTAATCAGTACAAGTGCTGTGTGCTGTGTTGTGTGCTAACCTTATCAGTAAATTTAAGGCCAAATCGGTGAGCTTAAGGCTCAGTGGATTCTTGTGGTGGGTTAACACTGACTGAGCAAGTGGTTCCCACCAATCCACTCTATCACCCTCCCCCTTTCCTCTCCCTTCTTCACAGAGCAAAATGGGAAAGGAAAATAAGATGGAGACAAAACCCTTGTGGATAAAAACAAGGACAGTTTAATTAGAAGGCAAAGCCAAACAATGCTGCACATGGAAGCAAAGAGAAAAGAAACAAAGAATTATTCTCTACTTCCCATCCCCAGGCAATGTCCAGCCTTTCCTGAGAAACAGGGCTCTAAAACGTGTAGCAGTTGCTCTAGAGGACAAAGGAGTAGCCCCTGCCCCCCTCCTGCTTTGTCCTAGCTTTATAGCTAAGCCAGCATCATATGGTGTGGAATATCCTCTTGGTCAGTTCAGGACAGCTGTCCTGGTTATGTTGGTCCCAAGCTCCTGCCCCACCCATCCCACTGTGGGGGGAATGTTAGAAAGAGCCTTGGTGCTGTGTGAGCCCTGCTCAGTGGTAATCACAACATGGGTGTTATCAGCACCCTTCCAACTCCCAAC